CTCCCGTTGACTCACTGGAGGACCTTGTTGCACGACTATCCATTGCGGCTGCAAGCGTGCGCGAAATTCCTGTCGTTTTTCAAAATGTTCTTCAATCCCTTCTGGGACGTTACCAAGCATGTATCTGCGACGTTACCAAGCTGGTGGTCGCAATTTTGAACATTTATTGAGAATAATCTATTGCTACAAAGAAGCATTTTGCGTTGATTTTTGTACATAAACACATTTTCCTCTCGTGTCGTGTCGTGTTTTTTTCTTTTTTTTTTTTTTTTTTTTCCCGTTCCTGCCTTAACTTGTCACTTTAGATCCTACATTCCTATAAAAAATGCATGTTTTAGTACGCTCCACTACTCCTCCATGTTTGTCCCATGATCTATGAAACACCCTATATATATATATATGTATACTTCTAGTGCGGCCGATTACAACTGAAACGTGAGTTGCAGAACTGCATGTTATAGCAGTCCTATATACAAAATTTCAATATTCTTAAGCTACTCGTTTTTGAGTTATGCGAGATACATACATAAATATGCACGTACGTACAGACGTCACGAAAAAAATATCTTGTGAATCCATTTTTTAAATCAATTTTATAATTCGTTTAGGAAAAAAGTGTCCTTTATTCTTTCCTTACATGCAGATGTCATACAAAAACCTCGTTAAATTGCATTCGACAGCGGTCAAAATGTTTTTTTTCGGGGGGGGGGGGGGTTTTTAAATTTGATTTGTTGTTGTTTCTTGTTTTATTAAAATATGATACCCGGAATTTTTCGTGATTACAATAATTAGTACACTGTTTTTTGTTAAAAAAATCGAATTCATTATTTAAGAAATATTTTCCAGGTGTATATAATTCTAGGTGTATATAGGTATTCCTCTACTTAGGAAAGTAAAGAAGGAAGTAAAAACAATGGCATATATAATTTCTACAATGAATACCAAAATTAATCTCGAATTTACACTCTAGCTGCCTCAATAATTATAAAGAGTGACTTAAAACTTTTCCGTTGAACTCATGAACCACAGATTGTATTGTATTAGTGATAGATGAGACAATTCTGTAAATATTGCAAAAGCATTAAAAAAACTCCAAAAAGACTACAAAACAAAATTATGCACGTTAATTGGCGATTTCATTATTCTATTTTGTAAATCTAAAATGACCCAAATCTAAATGTCAGTTTGTGCCCCGCACTCCAATATATTTTATATGTATTATTAATTATCTAAAATAATTTATTGTCTTATTTCATTTATTATTTTTCCTAGAGTCAAAATTTGTTCTCCATTGGTGGTATTAAATTAAGGAGAGCATTACTGAATTTAAGGCATCTTACAATCGAAGATACACGGTATATCAAAGTTCTATCTGTCTTTGAAGAGTTCAATAATAATGCTGATATTTTTCAGCCTTTCACCTCACGATTTAATTTGTTCAAAGACCTAAAGGACTCTCGCTGACATCCTCGTAAAATGCTTTTATTCAGCACTAAATTTTTAATAAAACTCTGATAAAGGATATATAAAATCTAAATGATTTTAAAAGTAACCGAAAATAAAGCCATGATATCAAAGCTTCCGAGTAATTCCAAAGTTCGTTTTTTTTTTCCTCACTGAGAATGATAACATACACAATCTAAAATTTATATGAAGGTTTTTATAACCGGTCTCATTTCATTCTCTTTTACGAGACCTCCTTCCCTCCTACGCAAAAAGGAATTGCACACACACACAAAAAAGATAAGAATGGGTAGAAGTGGAGAAGCAAATAGATAAATCCCGCCTGCTTACAAGACACAAACTTTGATTGAGGATCCCGTATTTCTAAGAATTTCCCTCGGGATATTATCCAGAAATTCTTTGAACATGGATCTTCCATTTAAATTTAGAGAATGCCCAACCATTGGTAGGCTCTTGGGATAAGAAGATATAAGCGATGGGGAGAGTTTGGGGAAAGCACTCCTTCCAAATGTTTGTTGTCTAGCGTTGGGAAAGTTTCCCTCCTCTCGCTTTAATGTGGCGGTTGGCAAGACGAATCTGAGATAACGGTGGGCATGGTACAAAAGGTATCTTATGTGCTATTCGAAAGCAAAAGTGGCCTAAACTTAGGAATGTTTGGATCAGGGATTGTAAGTTTGCCAAATTTTTCAATTACCGGCAGCTCGGTAAAATTGCCAATTAAAACTGTTTAACGGTAAGTTATCAGTAATTATATTCTTTCCTCACAAAATTTGTCAAAGATATAAAGAATTCGTTTGCAGAATTGCAGAATTAACATACTTTGAAAAACCAGCCAAACGATAATTGACACTATAAGGTATTTCTTCCGCCTTCTTAGCATGCCTTCGTGGTGTACTTGTCAGCACACTCGGCGCGTATCGAGAGGTCGGCGAAGTAGATTTAATTCAATCCAATAAGTTTAAATGAAATGCAAGAAAAAATGCGTATGATTTAATACTCCGTACAAGGAAGTCATGTGGTGTACACATCAGATTTTTTTCTAAGAATTTTTTTAAGCTTTGTCCATTTGATATATTTCATGATAAACATGTGGATTTCCATTTCTTAATTTCTCTTCAGCACCGCTGCTAACTTGGCGAATCATTATTTGTGCTCGCATCGCTGCATGATTGTACACACTGATGGCAGGGATGCCTTCGTAGATGATTTCTAATGGAACCTGGCTCATATACATGTTATACGTACATGGGGAAAATTACCAAGACGCCCATACATCCAGCCCGTTCGGGGGATTCGAACTTCAGACCAAACTACCGGTTTTCAGCGACCGCTCGGCCGCTGGTGGTTCACGTGAGATGTGAATAACCCCAGTTTTTCTGAAGCGTCCTCCAAGGAAGCATACTTCTTCACAGGCAGATAGCTTCGCATGCTTTTCCGTAATCTGATCTAAATCGTTCCATAAAATGAAGTGTGTTTTCTCATCGGCATAGCAAAGTGATTCATTAAACAATAGTTTTATATATAATAATAGATATGTATTATTTTGCAATAAAGTTTATTTTACGCCCTTAGTATAATAAATAAAATATGTTTCTAATATCATATAATATATCGACTGCAAAATTTCTAACTCTAGATTTTGTGTACATTATCATTTTCCCCCAAAATAAAATCCAATGCTAATAACAAAATTTTAAAGTCAACATCATAAATTTACCTAGCTCGCCTGTCTTGAATTACCTAATCTTATGCTGGTCAGGTGAATTTTTATTTTGGCAGTTAACTAACACATAAACTGAACTTTATTAAATACACAAGGATAAAACTTACCTAAAGGGTCTCTAGTTTTTTACAATTTTTAACTCGGAATGAACAAAATTATCCATCCCTATTCGGGATATTCAAATTAGCGCAAAAGGATAAAAACACAGTTACGATTTCGCCTATTAATCCTTGTTAGCCAACTGATTTTTGCTCCAGCTAATCTCAGGCTTTATTAGAAAGGAACTCAGCAATTTCCTACGGGGACAGCGACTTGCTGCTCAAAAGTGCTGACTTGCAAAATACGGTGCTAACTTGGCGTTGCCAAACTATACTCTCTAAATTATTACTTGAGCTTGCTATTTAAACACAGTTTCCATTCTGGTCAGTGTCAACGAAAAAATAAATTAGAGAAAAGACTGAATGTAAACTAACTGAATTAACTAAATAAACTTTACAATATACAGACTACGTCACTATGGATGCTATAAGCCTTTAGCAAAGGTTGACTGCTACACTGAATTCAAAGGTATGGGCTAATTCTGCTTACAGTTTGAATGTTTGTCTCGGAGGTAAAATATAGGTTTATTGATCTGGCCCTTTATAATACTTATTGCGGAACGTTCTCGGTCATGAGACAGCTAAAGGATTGATAGGCTTAACCATTTCTGACGACAGCTTCAGAAAGCAGTCCTCAATGCTATTTTTTTTTAATTTTAATTAAACAGTTTTCTGTACAGTGGAATCTCGAGATACGAATTTAATTCATTCCAGCATTGACCTCGTATAGGGAATTTCTCGTGTCTGGAAACAAGCTTCCCCACTGAAAATAATGGAAATCCCGTTAATCCGTTCCGCACTCCCACAAATATCAACATAAAAATCAATTTTTCCAATAAATAACACTGGTAATTAATATAACCGTAGTTTATCATGGCTTCCTACATCGAATCGCCTTTTAACTGCTTCTCGTTAATCGACACCAACAACAGCTTCTCAGCATCTTCTAGGAGTTTTAGGCGGTGCTTGGCAGTACGGTAACTCCTTTGGCCACATCAAGTTTCTTAATTTCTTCCTTCTTCTTTAGAATACTGCAGATCGTCGACCGTCGAACGGCCGTAAGTATTCGTTAATTCCGTCACTCTTACACCAGGCTTATGTTTATCTATGATTTCTTTCTTGATTTCAACGGCCATGGTTTCCTTCTTTTTCTTTGCAGCGCTATCTGAGGTAACAATCTTCTTGGGAAGTATCGTGATTTAATTATTTTCACGTTAAATGTAAAGAACAATTAACTCACAAGCGCACAAACACGTAGATCAAAGAACACTGAGTGATCTGTTGAGGGGATTCCCCGAGTCGAGCCGAATTGGAAAATGGCGCCACTCATACCAACAGCCTGGCTCCTTGCTTGTTACTCGAGTTAGTGCTCGTATTTCAAGAGGAATTTTTCGCTCATGCTTTCCTCGTGTCTCGAATTTCTCGTATATAGAGGTGCTTATATCTCGAGGTTCCACTGGTATTTAAATATTGCGGTACTTTACTTGTACCACTTCAAATATTAAGTGTTGAATAACACCAGATCTTTTAAGATTGTGATTTTTTCTGAGTTGAATTGAATTTCTTTTCTATATTAAATTCGTCTGTCCGCAATGGTGGATATTATTTTTATTTTATAAATGAAATATTTTCTTTATTCTCTGCTGCATGTTGTTTTTATTTATTTCTTTTCACGCATTCTGATGTCTGCTAATGTTGGTTCTTTCTATTTTCAGCGCCGCATACGACACTGTGACCCGGCAAAATGTGGCCATTAAGAAGTTGAGCAGACCCTTCCAAAACGTGACTCACGCGAAAAGGGCCTACAGGGAATTCAAGCTCATGAAGCTGGTTAATCATAAAAACGTGAGTATCTGTAACTAATACACCTTTTGTTTGAAATTCTTTCTAAGAATTGTTTGAAATTCTACTCCTTTTCGCTTAACATTTACGCAGCTGATTTTTTAAAATCTTTGAAAGAGCAAAAAAGGATACTAATAAAATTATTATAAATATTCTCTTTAATGTTTAATACCAAATGCTGCGTTATGTTACTATGTTATGTTCATACGAAAAACGGGATTATTTGTCCTAAGGTATACGTATTGCACACACGGAAATAATTACAATATCACTATGCAAAATAATCCTCAATTAATTCAAGGCCAACACCTGACATGATATAGTTACCCGCAGGAACTAAATTCTTTCTCAATGCAGGCTGTTCTTTCACGCACTAACATTAACCATAGCCGAAAACATTATCTTAATTTCTCATCCCCAGTGGTGATACGCTGCAGAAATTCTTTACCATCAGCCTCATACTTGAGGAGAAGTTCTTAGTAATCATTGATGCGTCTCTAATTTCAGTTGCCAAGTGCTTGCGTAACCATCTTCATTGAATTTCCTCTTGTCAAGAATGATGTGATGGATGGATCAATATTAATGTCTTTCTTGATTGCGACGCATTGTTGTTTTCATTCTCCATGGTTATGATGAAATCTTCCGTAAGCTGCTGAACTAAAGCATGGACAATTTCTCGACACCTGAAATGCCTAGCTTCAGCATTCGGTACTTTCATATACTTCATATGTATTCTATGTATTCAGCATGGTTAAGGTCTGACTCCAAACCTTAACCATGCTGAATGCTCATCTAACAATGTTAGTGTAAACGAAAACCTCCTCCAGCACTTTGCTAAACAAAAACCTCACAACATTTCATTGTTCTTGCTTGGTTCATTGTTGGGAGGGCTCCGTCTTCTTTCTAAATTGTTTCCTGTCTCTGTTAACACCATCAGTCTGTAGTTAAAGATCTTTGTCTTACATACCCGACCAACGATGATATCCATCGGGCACGCGACTTTTAATACAACGTTTACAATGTTTATGGTTTTCTACTGATTAATATATACTTGCCGGGACATAAAATTGCAGTTGTAGTTTCAATTTTGTAATAATAAAAGATGAGATTTTCAGTAAATCCACCGACAACAAATATACAGTAGTTCCGAAGAAGGTAAAATTTAACCTCAGATATTCAATGGTTTTTTTTTTACTCCTTGCAAGAGAGGAACTTGTGTCACACTTCCATAAAATGCTCCCAAAAATGAGCTATTTTTATGGTTCAAAATGCTGCATTTCTGGCCCTTTTAAGATTTATACATTTATTTGTGCAAAATATTTAGTTCTACAAATTATATTTCATTGTTCTGGAAAGGACTCAAACATGCTTCTAAATTTCTTTTTTATATTACTAAATTTCGGTTAAATCTCCGTTATCTTTCAACTCAATAACCAATCGCAAAATTATTCCTCCACACACAGTGCACTCTTTAGCATGCATTTCTAGAGTAGGTAATTAAACTTTAGATGAAATTTACGCCTTACTAGAATACAAAATTGAGGCCCGGTGGCGCAGTGGCTAGCGCATCGCGCAGCAGCACCACAGGTCCGGGGTTCGAAACCCGGGCTGGGCAAGGTCGACTCAGCCTTTCGTCCCTTGATTTCCATCCCTTGGGTCGATAAAATGAGTACCAAGTTTGCTTGGGGACTAAACACTGGGGGTCCTGCGACAAGCTGACCACTTCTTCAGGGCATATGCTTACGCACCCCGGGCCCACGGTCAAGAAAGCAGATTTCGGAGCACTGCAGGCCTTGGCCCATTTGGGCTGTTTGCGCCACTGAGTTTAGTTTAGAATACAAAATTATATTACTCCTTTACACATGAACGCTATTACGATTTCTAACTACATTGTAGGGAATTTCTGCCTTTTGCTGCGCGTGCTCTAGTAATGTAATTAGTAGCACGTCTAGCTAGCAGTAGGATAATCCTATGTTCGAGAATGTATTGCTGATTTTTCTCGTGTTTCTCCGAGGAAAACGTAATAGCTCCGCACTGGCGCCCGAGTAAAACCATGCGGTGCACGATATTTCATGACCATTTGAGTCTGGCCGACAGTGTCTCTTCTCATTCGCCTTTGTGTGGGGAGAGAATTTAAGAAATTATCACCTTTCTCACTGCGTTCTGTCATGATGTAACTGGTAACATGACAAGTTAGCAATCAGAAGATCCGGATTTCGAATCCCTACAAAAGCATAGTTAATTTCTTTTTGCATTTTCTGCTCTAACAAATATCTTAAATCTCTACAATAACCTGTCTTAAAATCTGGACACTTATGGTAGAACCTCTACAATATTATGTCTTAGAATCTAGACACTAGTCGCAAAACGAAATATTTCCTTTTTAGGTTAGGGTTTCTGAGCAAGAAAATGCTTATGTCAAAGTATCAATCTTGTCTTAGAACTGGACTAAGATAACCGTTCTTGGCAAACATATTTCTAATATTCTGAAGTCTTTTAGATTGATATATGAGCTGACATCTTTCTTGAAATTTACATGCACAATCTGATAAATTATTCTGTAGAACTAAGACGTTTTAGTGCGTAATTTATTAAATATTTTCAAATCTATCCTTCCTTCGCTTATTTTGTAGAGACATTAGGTATTTTTTTGAAACCAGGAAAGATGAAAATTGAGCAACGCCTTCGCCGGGAATCGAACCGCGGACCTCTAGAATATGCATCCAGCGTGCAGACCACCACACCACGAAGACATGCTGAGAAGTCGGGAGAAATACCTTATAATTTAAACTGTTTAGGTTTTCTCTAAAAATGTATTGGTTCCCAGTTAACGTTTTGTATAATATCAGCTTTAAAATTTTATATATACTAAGGGATTAAGAGCGTGAATTTCGTAAATTCGCGCTTTCATCTACTTTCTTGCCTGTTTTTGCCTTGTCTTAAAAAGGCTTTACAGCAACCAGTTGCTTCGGGATAAGATAACTTTCCAGAATGATATTAATTTGAGCAATCAGCAATAGTTTTCATGCTTGTGAAGAAATTTCTTTGCATTAAACACCAACTTCAGAAATTTTAATTCCTGAGAAGGAAGTTTAACTCTTTTATTATTTTAGATTCGTTACAGGTATCAGTCAAATACTGTGTTGGAAAGATATTTTCTGGCTGAAAACGATGAGGAAAATAGTATGAATTCGAACATTTTTCCTCGGCTTCGTCAAGCCAAGAAACCTTCCTTAAACTGAAATAATAGGCATGCAAACTTATTTAAACTATTTTGGCGGAGGAAATAATATGCATTCGAACTTAAGTTTCCACTTGAATAACACGTCACTTTTTAAATTATTTATCCATATAGCATATTCCTTTCCCCCCCCCGTCACTAGTTAAGAGAAAATTCTGCCTACTACGTCATTTTGAACTTGCGCTTTTAATTTTTCCTATTTTGCCTTATAGCAAAAACCATTCATTTTCCAAATCCTTTTCATCCCGTAATTTCTGGCAAAATGCGAAGCAGTGTCAAAAGCTGAAGGGCATGTTTGTTACGACACTCAACGAATAGATTTTAATGTATACTAATAATAATTTAATGCATAATTTTAGTGTATTTAAAGAATATTAAGTCATTAGCATATTATTTCGTAAATGTTTCTCTTAAGAGACTGATAAAATAAGATTCCATCCTGGTAACCTGCTTCATAATTTTTAGAGTTCATTAATTTAAAATAAAGATCTGATGATTTTAAGAAGTAATTTTTATAGTATAATATAATGATGATGTTCATACTTGTTACTTACTAAAGTCAATTTATATTTCTACGAATTTTCTCTCTTAAAATCCTTGAATTACATATGTATATATTTTTAATATTAGCCTTAAGCACAACATAAAAGAATATCACGATCATTAATGGTTTATGTTCTTCATTAATTTCATAAATAACACATATTCATGTAATTTACTTATAACTCTAAAATTACTTAAATGTAAATTATTTAGTATGCATTTGTATATTCTGTATTTTTGCAGAGAGAATTATTTTTAAATGTTTCTAAAATTTCAAGAAACAGTGTAAAGAATATGCATGAAACTTACGTATTCTGTGTGAAAGTGATATCTTGGGTAAATTATCAGGAACTAGTATTGTTGATATACATATATATTCATAATTGTGTGATTAATTAATGTAACTTAAAAATTAATTAAGCTTCATAAATAATAGTGAAATAAAAACTGAGCTCAAATGATTATATTTTTCAGATAATTGGTCTTCTAAATGCTTTTACGCCTCAAAAGACTCTAGAAGATTTTCAAGATGTGTAAGTTATCTTTATTTTATTGAAAATTAATCAAATAAAATTTTTAATTTAATGAAATGCTGACTGATACTTTAGATGTATGTACAAATACCTAATTTTATGCATGTTAAGCAATCATGATTTTCAAGACGTTAATGTAAATCTGAAAACTTTTATATATTTTATTGCTTATAGATCTAAAATTTATATTGCTATCTGTAGGCTGACTTACAAGTAATATGCGTATAACAATTACGTAAATAATGTCATTTCAGTTACTCCTGTTTTACAATTTCTTACGTAAGTATAAATAAATGCGCATTTCAGAAACTTTATCTTTTGCAACTCAATTAATTAAAAATACTTGCTGTTTGTATATAATACGTAATTTACTATGTTTGGTTATAATATAGAACTTATGCTGTTTGAAATAATTTTTATTCACTGGACAACATTTATTATCTCAAAGCATTGTTTTTCATCCTGCACTAATAATCGAATACACATAATTCAACAGAATGCATTCTTTCTTCGTATAAATAATTTGTTTTAGAAATTATAGTTAGTAATATTGAATCATGCATTTAAAACATATAACAGTTTTTCATAACATTCAACAGTTACACATAAAACAGTTTTTCAATCACTGGAAAGACAAATATATATTTAAATACACTTTTGTTTATAATTTTCATCCTCAGTATTTAAAAGTTTAAGACATGTAGTAAAAAACAAATAAAATCAATTAAATATTTTGTCTCGAGATAATAATTACTATTGTGATTAAAAAATAGTCTTCAATTTCATAACTTGATTTAAAACTTAAGAAATTTCACTTAGTATTCTCTTATGCTAAACGTTGCGATGACAAATCTTGTCGACAGGATTGAGACTGAGAACTCTTGTCGAGAATATATAGAATGCAAAGTTTTAAGACCAGTTTTCTTTTTAATTCTAGCAAACATGCCGAACGATATTCGACATCATTTATTGCTATATTATCTTAACTTACTTTTAATAAAATATCGTCTGTATGTAGGGAGAATTTCCCATTCAGTTAATTGTTCGCTTTGATCCGGCGATGATCTACTGTCACGTATTCCAAAGTTAAGCAAAAAATAACAATAACGTTTTGCTACAAAGCGAGAAAATAGCAACAGAGGCATCTGAAATGTTATGGAATTCGTACAGGTATAAAGCTTCAGCACGCTATAATATCTTTTCTTCGTTCCGTACGATTTTGTGACGGACGCCTAGATAATGATGATGAAATAAATAAGGATCGCCCTTTGCAGTCTGGAATGCAGGCGAGCAATGAATACGTTCCACAATTCTTAACGAAAACTGTTAAATGCCCATTCGAATGTTGACTGCTGAACTTAACATTTGTAAAGACACTGCTCACAAAATTGTGACGAAATACCTTGAAAAAAGAAACATATGTTCTCGTTTTGTCTCACAAGAACTTACAGCAGGAAGGGAACCGAATTTCTTTATGTAATAATTTCATTAAAAGACCATTAATGCTCATTTTTCCAAAGAAATTGTGGTTGGAGATAAAAGCTGTATCCTTTGCCTAGGATCCTTAAACAAAAGGCTATAATCTGGTTGGATTGAGAAATATACATACAACAGTTTCGAAAATCTCAAATAAAAACCGTGTTTGTTTCCTGAGTGGAAAGGAAAAATTCATAAAAATCCATGCTCCCGAAGAATACGTAATTCAGTATTTTATAAAGCCGTAATAAAAGAACTCAGAGCATTAAGCCATTAAAATCTCAATCGAATAACTAAATTTTATACGCCATCACAGAATTCCGTTCTCGTCAAGCGGTTTCTAGAAAATGAAAATATCATTATTCTCAGTTAACCCCTTATTCACCACATTTGGAACCAGTATGGTAGGTTCTCTTCCTTAAACTGAACTCTGAATCCAAAAGTCTTTGTTCAAATAGCATGCCGCCCATCTAGTTTAGTGATTAGTGACAATGACTAACGTAGCGATGAGCCCGGGTTCGAATCCCGGAGATGGCATGGTTGTAACTGTCCGTTCCTTCATGAGAGGCCACCTATTAGGTGCTTCCATAATGAAATGACCACCATTTCCGGCCCTTGTAGTGGCGCAAGGCTAATGGCTATTAAACAAAGCGTCTGGCATGAAAACAATTGTTCAAATAGCACTGAAGAGATTTAGAAACCGCTACCAGAGATTGGAACAGCATGCCGAAAGATAGTTCTACAAAGGAATCAAGCAACTGTATGAATAAGCCGTACGTTATTTAGACTTAGAAGGGCTGTATATTAAAAACAAAGAAATGAGAACGTTGTTTTCTCCAATTTTTATTTTGTACAAACTTAGGCCTGTAACTTTAAAGACGCACTTTATACATTCTTAATACTAGGTTTACGGACATTTTTGTATACCTACACTTACAGACACCGGTCAGATTGAAGATATAGGAAATACCCATTTTCTTCAAAAATAAATTAGTTTGATTAAAAACACAGTCTTAATACTATACCTAACGATAACCATCAGTTTGACGAATAAGTAGTTTTTTTTATTCGATGTAAAAAACGTTATCGTAATTTTCTATCGTTAGCAGAGTTACCACAGCAATCTTCGCTGATACTAACTATTCTCTCTAGCAATTCGGTATCTCTTCTTGAATTATTCATGATGACTACACAATGGTATTTCGTTAGAATGAAGTAAAACTAATACATACTTTACTCTAATGACATTGCTAATACTCATAATAACATAATACTTTCTTCTCGATCGTCACGAACTGAAACTTTCTCTAAAACATATTCACAACATTGAGTGAAACTCAACTACTGCACACCGCTTTATACTTACACTTTAGGCACGTTAGATTGACATATATTCACAGGTGACATCCCTTGCTCTGCTGCATTGATTTGCGCGTGTTTTGTACCTCAAAATTATCTGAAATTTTAATTATTTGATCCTTCCATTAAAATGTATATGTATAATAAATATGATTCTACTAAGTGCTTACTTTTGTGATGTAGCAATTTGAATTACCATTTTCCACGTCTCATTGATATAAGAGCAAAATATGATGTTCCTGCGTAGAATGGGGGGAAAAAAGCAATTGTCTGGGAATATCCGCCTGGAACACACCTTGTTAACTGTGATAAATCGAGATAATGAACTTGATACTTCGATAGCAATGTTATTACACTCATGTCCGTAAATTAAGGATAATTCGGAGTCACGCGGAAATCGAACTCTAAAATAAATATATCACCTGTAAAATCACTACACACATATTCAAGAATCATATGCAAATTTCAGGAAGTAACCAAATGACACCGATGGTACGTCACAATGACGAGAGTGTAAGAGAGTGACATATAAGGAATACAGGCAAAGAAGGAAAATTGTTCGCAGACGCTTTATAAGCATTTCAGTGCAATAACCGAAGAGTTATGACACAAAGGACGCATTTGGATGATTTTTTACGTGGTAGAATTATCGGCCGTCTGAAATGTGGGCGTACCCAACTGGAAGTATCAGACGAACTTGGAATTGCCCAGAGTATCAACTCAAGGCTTTGGCAACGATTCCAAGATGATGGTAATGTGAGTAGACATTACAGCACAGGTCGCCCCAGAGTTACAACGCCGAATATTTGGCAGTTACTGCCAAACGAAACAGGTGGAGCACAGCCTCAGACCTGTCTCGTCATCTCTCTTCAGCCACTGGTATGACAATTTCAAGGCAGACCGTGTACAGACGCTTAGGACAAATTGGTCTATATGCTCGTAGACCTGTCAGATGCGTTCCACTTACTGCAACGCACAGTCGCCTGAGGTTAGCCTGGAGTAGAGAGCATGCATTGTGGACGCCGCAACAGTGGGCTTGTGCGATGTTTTCCGACGAGTCCAGGTTTAGCTTGCAGTCTGATTCTCGCCGGACTTTCATATGGAGAGCTCCAGGTACCCGTTACCACCAAGAAAACATCATCGAACGACACCGTTACGGTGGTGCAGGAGTGCTCGTTTGGGGTGGAATTATTCTGGGTTCCAGAACTGACCTGCATGTTGAAATTGGAACCATGACAAGCCAAATCTAGCGAGACGTCATTCTGGTACAACATGTACGTTTGTTTCGGGGCGCCCCATGGGCGCACAGTTTGTGTTTATCGATGACAACGCCCGATCACAGTGCAAACATCGTAAGCGAATGCCTTTAGTCGGAGGATATCACCCGTATGGACTGGCCAGCATTCTCACCGGACTTACCGGAATCCAGTAGAGCACGTGTGAGACATGCTTGGCCGACGAGTTGCAGCCCGTCAACCTCCTCCTACATGTCTACGGGAACTTCGAGAGCATTGCTTTTTGAGTGGTGTAATATCCCCCAAGATCAGATCGATAATTTGATACTCAGCATGCCTAGGCGTTGTACGGACTGTATTGCATTGTCTGCGAGACATACAATGTATTAGCAATCATACCAATTATGTAATATTGGTTTTTTGTAAAATTTTTTTTTTTTTTTTTTTTTTTTTTTTTTTTTTTTGTAATTTGCTCCAGGGAGAAAAAATCGCTACTTTTTTTTAATATCAAACATAAAGCATATTTTTTTGCTCTTTACCTTTTGTTTAATAAATAAGCTTTTGTTTAATAAACAAGTCAAATTTGTTTTGCTTCTAAATCTTCCTTTGCCTGATTTTGCATTATCCTTAATTTATGGACATGAGGGTATTTTGACAGCAAGACTAGTGATGACTCCAGCTGTAATACCAATCAATTTACATTTAAAATAAATTTTGCAGAGTTATTATGTATCAGCAATAAATTGTCAGAACTTTTATTCTGAGATTATATGCAGATATTTAGTAATGGAACTGATGGACGCCAACCTATGCCAGGTGATACAAATGGACTTGGACCACGAAAGAATGTCTTACCTACTCTACCAAATGCTGTGCGGCATCAAGCATCTCCATTCTGCTGGCATTATCCACAGGGTGAGAAATGTTTTTAATCATCAAATAGTTTCATTTCGATTGAAGTGTTATATGCATATCCAGGGCCAGATCTGCACAATGGTAAGGGAAACATGTGTCCCGACCTTCGCATTTCCAAATTCTTCTTGAATAAACATATATACAATTTTAAATAAAGTGTTTGGGTTCTGTATTTTAAAATTATAAAATTAGATGCAGAAACAAAATTAAAAATTTTGCATTTTATTTTTTGTGTCTCATTGGAAACATTGAGAGGGTTTATAAAGCTTGGATTTGTAATACTAACTTGCATAGTCGTTTTTATTGTGTGATCACTATATAGAGCTATGAGGATCTCTTTATTAGCATAAGCGTAGTCATATACTACATAATTATGAAATTGGGAAACTCTTAATAGCATTATTTGAGTTTATTTATATTGTTATGATTTGTAATAAAGTCGATAAAAATTCTTTAGTTTCTTTTATCGCAGATTTTTCGAAGGAAAAAAAGGTCTTGGATTAAAATGTATACGCTCATATTTTACACAACACATAATAACATGAAATGGTGGCAATAAAGCATAGAGAAAGGTGATATGCTTTTTCTTTAAAGAGCTCAAAATCTTAAAATACTGAAATACTACATTATTTCAAAAAATAATTTTTATAACTCGCATTAGTGATACCCATTTCGTTTAAACAATAGTGGAGGAGGAATTTGAAAAGAACTAGTGGGAGAAGATTTTGCTCCGGACTTTCAGTTGTGTAAATCGGGCCCTGAGCACGTCTAGTGTTTTAAATCTGAAGCAGATTAAATTTGTAGGTTTCCGGCTTGGAATACTTCGGTAATATGCAGTACTCGTACATAATATTCTGAAAGGAAAATGAAGTAATAATCCCAGCCGCATTTTAATTTACTTATAAAAGAAATTGAACAACTTAAATAATACTGTAAATTTGTGTACTTTTGACACTTTTTCCTGTTTTAATGGATTTAATATTAAAATCTTTACCGTATGCAGTTACTTATCAACCTTTTGGTATTCCTTTATAAACTATATTTTTCATGAAAATTTACCAGTAAAACTTTGTAAAGAATGTATTTAGTACATATAGCATTTGTTAGTTAAAATAAATTATTAACTAAGTTCATAACTCTATTAATTGCCATTTGTTTCATTGATTTTCTATTCGTTTTCTGTTTTTAAATGCTTAAATCTCTTTATTACGTTTTTAGCAAAAAAATTATTAGTTAATTGAAAAATCGGAAATGTAAAAGTAAAAATATTCCTCTTTCCTCCTTGCGCTCACAAATTATACGAATATACATTTACAGCTTCTAAACCCTGAAAAACTTATGTTTACTATATTAACTTCTTGTAATGATTTATAAATGCTTTATGTTTTACCACGATATTTTCGTCGACGATGTTTTTAAACTGCGAAGTTTTTTAACCGCTTTATTTTCGACAACGATATTTTGTACCACGATTTATGGTGTCTAGAGCTCTCACTGATAGAATATCAATTGCAACTAGAAATGAATTGTTGTACAACTGTTGACTGACAACTGTGATGTTTTCTATTTGCTTTGTTTTCTCCAACAATGTTTTGCACTACGACGTTTTTACCTTGCTTTGTGTTCTGCGCAACGTTTTCGTCCGCGATGTCTTTACCGCAATGATTTCAGCGGACACCGAAAATCCATATCATTATGCAGCAAGATCCCGAATATTCAGAGAAGTATATCGTATATCCAAAAAGTCTAAGATTCACTAAAAATTTGCTTTAGTAAAAGAGTACATCAAAAAATTAGGAATGCAGTATGAATTTAAATAAACTTTTTTGGGACTTCTCGGTTAATGAGCGCAAGTTATAATCAAGCTCCAAATGTAGTAGCCTGTTTATTTCACTCCGCAAGTAGCTGTGCAGTGACGTCACTACGAATAAGTGGGAGAAATGAAATGAGCATCGATCTAGCAATTTTGTCGTCAACATTTTCAGTTGTTTTTTTATAGAAGTTCTATTTAAAAAAAGTCTGTACGGATTGTGCTATTTTGCAGTTGCCAAATGATGAAGACTCGTAATTAAATTTTTCCAAGATATCTTCAGAAAACTATAAAATAAAATTGTATTTTACTGCTACTAGAGCTCAGAAATGACACTGCATTGAAAGATAGTGCTGCGAAAAGAAATTTTACGGGTTGGATGCTCAGAAATGACACTGCATTGAAAGATAGTGCTGCGAAAAGAAATTTTACGGGTTGGATGCTCAGAAATGACACTGCATTGAAAGATAGTGCTGCGAAAAGAAATTTTACGGGTTGGATGCTCAGAAATGACACTGCATTGAAAGATAGTGCTGCGAAAAGAAATTTTACGGGTTGGATGCTCAGAAATGACACTGCATTGAAAGATAGTGCTGCGAAAAGAAATTTTACGGGTTGGATGCTTATCCGAAGGTTCACGTTGTCGTTTTCTTTTACCTGTTCAGTTTATTTAATTTTATGGCGTCTAGAGCTCTCACTGACAGACTATCAATTGCAGCTAGGTATGAACTGTTGTACAACTGTTGATTGATATAATTTTATCTCTTATTTGTGAACTTTGGTATTTGTCCTCTTTTAGCGCAAAAGGGTCTCGAAACACGATTTTGCTTTCTTCCACTTTAATGTGTTGCTTCACTTTTCATTCGAATCTGTTGCCATTGGAAAAAAACGTAAAATATTATTCTTTCATATTTAATCTGTCTGTTATTAATTAACAAACTACGCTATTTAAAAGCAATAAATGTAGTCTTTAAAAATATTGTATTTATTTTTACTTTTTAATCTGATTAATTTAAATAAAAATGCATTTAATTCATCGTATATCTAATAGAAAACGTTAAACATTTTAATAAAATTTAGCGTCTCGCCAAGGAATTAATTTCGGTTTTTTAATGTGAAATAAAACTGGTATTTTTCCATACTGAAAATTAATTTTAATTAGCCAAATACCTTCTATTCTGTTCGACGACTTTTTCTGATAAATTCATGATTCCACGCTCATACAGATTCTGCTCTTTATCATCAAAAAACTAATACAAATGCGATTTGAGGTCATGATAATCCAATGGTGCAAGTTCGGGGTTATATGGGGGATGCGACATCACTTCCTAACCCCAAGTTCCAACAGTTTTCTACGTGTTGATAAAAATGTGTGAGGGTTCGCACTGACGTGGTGGAACACGATTTCTTTGCGATTTATTTTGGTCTCTTCTCTTTGATTCCTTCCTCCAGTTTCATAATTTGTTTTCATAATTTGGCAGAAAGCATCTGAGTTTATCGTTTGATTGCTTGGAAGGAGTTCAAAATATACAATACCTTTGTAATTCCATCAAACTGACATATTTTTTGATGCAGTTTAGCTTTCTATGTGAATTTTGCTAATTCGTCATGCTTGGACCATGATGTTGTCGTATCTGATCCGGTTCTCATCACCAGTGATAATTCGTTGGAGAAAGGGACGATTGCATAACGTTTAATATGCGTATCGCAAATATTGATTCGTTGGGTTAGGTGAATTTCAATTCATTAGGCACTCGGATATCGAGCTTCTTCACGAGTCCAAGACATCTTATGTGATTTTAAGTATCGTTGTCTGTTACAGTTGTTGTTGTTTTTTAACCTCGTCGCAGTCTTTCCCACAGTTACATGACGATTCGATTCAATTATGGCTTTAATTTTGTCCTCATGTACTTCAGAAGTTCGTCCAGAACACGGTCATCTTCAAGGGAAAAGTCTCCAACACGAAAATCTTTAATCAAATCCTGACACATGTGTTCTGTTAAGCAATCAGCACCATAAGCTTCACATTTCCCTTTGTGAGCCTCAGCTGCTTTCTTGTCTTTATGACAATAAAAAAGTAAAATAGTCGAAAATGTTTATTTTTGTCCCCCATGTTAAAGGTGACCATAAGCTAACCAGTAGTAAATAAAAATTACACAGAATTTGTTTCTATAGCAATCTAAAAGTGCCAAATCTCAGAAGAAGAAAAATTATAAGATTGCCAGATATATTACAAAATACGCATAATGCTATCTATTTGTGTAAACTGAAATTACTTTCTTGTCAACCTAATATTACACTCGTTTTCACTTTTCAAGTGTACAGAAGGTATATATTGTTCCCATGGTCTAGATGCATATTCATCTAGTATCTTACAAAATGTTTCGCTATTCCACTTGGTCCATGTCTATTGATAATTTCTACTGATAAATCATACTAAATTTAAAGAGCTCATTTGGTCGATCGTTAAAATAATCCTTTCAAAATATTGATTTAATAGAGAGGACATTTTTACGAACGGTATATATGTTATTATCGTTGCCATTCTCATCATTCTCTATATTTCGCGCCAACATTTATGTTTGACATCAAACGGCATGCTATTTGTCTTAAATTACCTTTTTTCTTATCTGTATATTAAGCTAAATTATCTCTTAATTAATTGAATTTCTAACACGTATTGGGCAGTGAGAAGAAATGTGAAACGATGACATAGCTTTCAAAAACAGCTTAACCATAATCTTGTTAGTTAAATTTATCATCAGTAAACAATAAAACACTCAGTTCAGTCAATCAAAGTCATCGCATGACTCAAATAAAGGTAAGCAAAACGTAGTACGAAATTCATTTCGTAATAACTAAGCATTGAAGATATACGCAGTTTTTCATGTATCCGTAAATTGTGTCCGATTATTAACATGTTTCATCACCATTTTTATTTAGCTTTTCGCTCTCTGATTTTTTTTTCAGGACCTCAAACCCAGCAATATCGTTGTCAAATCAGATTGCACACTCAAGATTCTGGACTTTGGATTGGCGCGAACAGCTGGTACAACTTTCATGATGACGCCTTACGTTGTCACGAGATATTACAGAGCACCTGAAGTCATCCTAGGCATGGGATACAAGGACAACGGTAAGATATGTTTTAAGATTTTCTTGCCATCTATTGCAAAATATAAACTCTTAACTTAATATATGAAGGCAAAGAATGGGATCTCAATCTGTATTTATAAGTATATAATAAGTATATAAACAAACTATATAGAAAGTGTAATCTGTAGTGTTGAAAGAATAGGAATGTATTATCGGGTGTGCCGAAACATTGGATGCTTATTAGCTGAGTCTGCATGTATATGCAATTTTGGTTCTGTAAATATACTGAAAACTTTTATGAAAATTTGCAGCAGTTAAAAACCGAGCAGGCAAACTCCGTAACCTAGAAATAGAAAAGAAATGAAATAATTAGATATATCACAAGGGCAAAATATATATGTAAGTGCTAGCCTATTTTATTACCTATTACCTCAAAATTATCATAAATCTGTTATAAGTTTGTCAATATGTTAATAGGCAAACATTTATAGTCTTCATGTTGTGTCCCTAAAAATAAGAAGTGTGAAAACAGCTATAAAATAGTTCATATTTTTATAAAATTAATTATAGTGCATACTATAATTTCGTAGCCATCTCTTGCTACTAAAATTGAAATGAGCCGAAGTGGTCTGGGTGTACTTTCTACTTCATGAATGTAGAGCATTTCTTGGAATCTAAAATGGCGTAGAACGATGCACTAGTTATCATCAAGTTAAATAGGAAAATATTTTCAACTTTACCAGGTGATCAGAAAAAATACCTTCCAAACGGTATCAGAAAGCGACAGTCCTGTCTTTTTACTGTAAACGGAATAAACAACTGTTGCCTAAAATTTAGATGAATTTCCAAACGGAAGAGACTTACAACTTTTTATTGTTTCTCAATTGAATTTGTTATTCTCTCAATGTTGCAATCCACTAAAAGAAACTACACAACTGGAATTCCAACAGTTCAGACTGACTGAACTTCTACGGTTCGTAGTAAATTCGGAAATTCTATATTATACGCCTGGAACGTTTTTCAGCCTAAAGACGATAGATAAAAATAATTTTAAATTTGCTAACACTGGATAACGTTTATAAATTAAAACAACATTGAAACAAAAACTAATATGATTAATAACGCAGAAATAACTTATGTTCGCTTTCACCTCCCTAACTTGGGAAGTCAGTGAATAAATTGGAAGACTTTAAAGTGGTGATTTTGACGATGGTACTTGAAATCACAACCACAAGCTTTGTTGTTGGAGTTTAATTTGTAAAGAATATTTACTAAGATACAGTAAACAACAATGAAAACTTATCCATCGGTATCTCAGAATGCAGTTTTTTATGTCTGCCTATCCACCATGAAAGTCGGAATTTATCTTGGTCTTGTGCTGTTGTCAGATGTGAAAAGATTGAAATACCCCAGTATGCTTGATTATGTCTTTCGTTAAAGCAAAGTAGAGTAAAATTAACTGTCGTAAAGTAGAGGATAAGGGAGTCCATTTAAAACGCCCTATGACGGTCGCCTGCACATTCCATCAGTAACCTGCCTGCACATTCCATCAGTGTAGTAAAATGATCATTGCAACTAGTATCTCCTATAAATTTCGGTTAGTTTTCCTCTTGTGAAGTATAACAATACAAAATGGAAATATTACGTATGAAATACGTTTAGTTGTGCTGAGATTGCTTTGAAAAAGGAGGAAAGTCATGTTTGAGAGAAAGGGGCATAGCTTTGTATGCAACGGAAAAAATTTTGAAACAGCAGGTTCTCCAACTACTATGTTATGGACGCAAATGTAATATTTCATGGCGACGGTTGTTACCTAATCTGTGTGTTGTTTGATTATGGCAAAGTGCTCGGAGCCTTTAATGTAAACTCTCTTCTTCTGATTTTTTATCACATTTCCTTGTCTTGTCTCGTGGTTATATTACCCAATCTAACTATTTTTGACTCTTAGCACTTACTAAGGAAAATATTTCTCAGCAGTAAAGGAAATTTATTGAATTAATGAAACTGAAATGGCATAATTCCTTTCCATTATTGATTTTCAGCAGGATGTTTCTTATAAATTTTTTTCATCTGAACTGTCTTAATCAACTACAGGGTGTCTCAAAAAAATGTACTCACACTTCGAATGACGAGAAAAACTTTATTTCTGAAATGGAAGGTCGAGAGTTTAGTAGAATTATAAGAGTGAAATATGGAAGGGCTTCGAATAAAGAAGACAAATATAATAAAGGAATCATGTCGCGAATGTTTAAATTGATGACCATCATTGCCCAGAAAACGCTGATAACGCGCACCAAGGGATTCGCAAACGTCACGAAACAGGTCATAAGGAATATCGTGACATTGTCTTTCAATTTCCAATTTCAATGCATTAATTTTTCTTGGTTTGGTGCGATAAACTTTTCCACACAAAAAGAAGTCCATGAGCGTGAGGTCTGGAGAACGCGCAGGGTATTCAGTGGTATCCCTTCGTCCAATCCATCTGCCTGGAAAAGCTGCATCGAGGTGAGCTCGTACATCGCGTTGGTAGTGTTGAGGTGCTCCATCTTGCTGAAAGTAAATCTCTTGGTCATCACCAAACATCTCTGGAATTTGTGGACCGACAAACTCCTGAAGCAAGTTGAGGTAAGTCTCAACAGTGACAGGTCCGTTAAACAGACGGTCCTATGATGCCCAATACGAATATCCGAACCACACTGTTACTCCTGGTAAGTTAACATAGTGTTCAAGTGTTATATGAGGATTTACAGGAACCCAGTACGTGCAATTATGGCGCCATTTAATTTAAAGGATGCCTCGTCGCTCCGCACAATTTTTGTGAAAACCCTGCATCTTCTGCAGATTTTGTCAGGTACCATTCACAGAATCGAACTCTCCTGTCAGGATCATCTTCGTTGATAGCATGGATTAGTGTTGGAATGTAGCATTTCCATTGCAGACGCTTCATGGTGCGATAGACGCTATCTCTTGAGATGTGGGTTTTCCGAACAGTTTGTCAAAGAGATTTTTGTAGCGATTGAAGGAGTGTTTCCTACACCTGCTCTTCTTTTCCAGGGCTCGTGTATGACCGTTGTTGTCCAGAACGTTTCATGTTGACGTTCGGGACGATTCCATCTGCTTGAAACTTGTCTCTGATTTGAGCAATGGTCCGGCACGTTAGTAGCGGTTGCTTTATAAGGTATTTCTCCCGCCTTCCTAGCGTGCCTTCGTGGTGTAGTGGGCAGCACACTGAGCCAGTATTTCATAGGTCTATGATTTGATTCCCGGCGAAGGCGATTAAATATTTTTCATCTCTCCTGCTTCCAAAAAATCCTAATGTCTCTACAGCATATTCCCTTCTATATCGTCTTTGCACTTCAATGGCGTTTTCGGTCTTCCAATAACATTTCAGAACGAACTTCCTCTCTTCTAAGCTAAGTTGATTTCCTGCCATGCTGTGATAAATTAATTACACCTGCAACTCAAAAAGGCAGCATGTTAACGACAGTCAAAGTGTGAGTACATTTTTTGAGACACCCTGTATAGGTATTTACAGAACTTTTATGAAATTTCAATCAATGTTTAATCAATTAATATGTGTATTTAATTTCGTTTTACAATAATAAATAATACTGTTACGAATTTTGTACTTAGGTAAGTAATTTTAGTAGAATTTTAAGTAAAATTGTTGTATTTCTTTTGTAACATGAACAATCTGAAAAGAAGCTATGCTGAAAAACTAAGAATACAGGGGCAAGTGCATTTAACTTTGAGTAAATGGGTATCTCGGTAATTTAGAGAGATATCGCAAAGCTAACGGCGGTTTTGGCGACCAATTGGCGACATTGTTGGCCAAACTAATGTTGCATTTTTGTATAATTTTTGTATAATTCCTGTTATTATAAAAGAGAGTCAAATACACAAATCGTATATATAAACGAGAGAGCTTTACTTAACGGGTCCACTCGTTTTAAAACGACAACAAACGTATAGCATTTGAATAATTACTTGAATATTATTTGCAAACAGTTATCGTGTTTCTTTGTGCATACTTTCATGGCTTAAGTGTTTAACATATATAGCTGGCAATTTGAAGATCAGTGAATCATATTTCGTCTAAAATGTGATTGAATTTTCACATTTCCTATCTTCATATATATTGGTTTCTATGATAGCTCCCGAACTAAAATATGTGGAACTGTCATCACATGGATTTGATCGACTGGGTCTCATTCATTTCCCTAGTTATTGATACTCCAAGCTATAAATGAAAGGTCCGTAGCTCGAATACCGGCAAAGACATAATTGACTTTAGGTCAATTAGGTAACAATTCTGTCACCTAAAAGTATAAAACATTATCTCTATGTACTTATAACAGAATAATTTGCTTACTTTATTTAATGCACTATGAACTTTATTCATTTAAACAGAACGTTTACCCAGCATATGTTATTTAAATATATTTCTGAGCAATGAAATTCTTAATTTTAATCTATCTTTCCCTTCTTTTTTTAGTGGATATCTGGTCCGTCGGATGCATTATGGGAGAAATGATTCGTGGTGGAGTTCTGTTTCCTGGTACTGATCGTATCCTTAAATTTGAAAGCTGCTCAATATGCAGTTCTATATATATTTCTTACGTGCAGTAACTCCACAGCTGACCTTTCGGCCACCTTGCATTGATATGCCCCTCTGGAATAGGAAAAAAAGTTCAAATATAATCATAATACAGTTAATACCCAATTACATGACTTCCACGGTTAACTAAATCAAAAGGCACTTAAAAACGCAGGAGAGAGGAATAACACATAATATAATTATCAGGGGGAAAATAACATTAGAAATTCTATTTCTAAACAATTTGAGGAAAATATGTTCATTTGCGTATGTAAATCAAAATAGAAAGTACATATTGTAAATAACGAAAGTTAAATTATCATTAGAAATGAAAATCAACTAAATTGCATCACAGAACAGTAATTTAGAATTTAATGATTCAGTAATTTATAACCGTAATTTAGAATTTAATGATTCAGTAATTTATAACAGTAATTTAGAATTTAATGATTCAGTAATTTATAACAGTAATTTAGAGTTTAATCAATGTCATTGAGTTTAAACTCACTTGCGAAAATCGGTTACAACGTTTGTGCATGTTTGGGCCACATGTAATCTGTGGGTAATCTTATGATTGCTGCGCAGACGAGATAATACTCAATGTCACTGGCTGTCGTAACGAAGGGTCCGAGTTTGAATCCAGGAGAAAACGTGGATGTTTGTAAGCGTATAATGCGTCTGCAGCAAGGGTTAGTCAAAATACACGGCTAGCCGAAATAATCTGGAGTGGCTGAGGGTACGGAAAGAAGGGTAAGAAACTCTCGGAATGTCCTCTTGTAGAGTTCTTACTCGGAATCTCATCCGGATTGCAGCTTAACAGTACGCGCAAGGCTTGGTGATATCCAGTATGACTAGATGGATGCACAAGTGCAGACCTTGTTTCAGCTTGGACCTGTAATTATGATTTTTCACAGTGAATGTGTACATGGATAATTTTAACGTCTACCTTACTGGCCTGTGCCTCTTACTAGAAACTTTGGCTGAGACTTACCAGATATTCCTCCCAGAACTGTTTTAAATATATACCTCTAGCCATCCGCTGAAAAATATGGTTCCATTATGTTGCGCCACAACATTACAGTACGGTTCATACGTGCTGACCTGTATACGACATTTCCAAGCGACTAAATTAGCAGGCTGAAGATCTTATTTGCAGGTTTTTAGTAGTTGCTGCAAAAGTCCCCGATATGCTTGATATTTCGCAGACCGCACAAGAATCTTTACGTCGAACGATCTAAGAATTGCATAAAGCGTGGCAAACGCAATTTTTAACAGCTTCTGTAAGTGTACTTCATTTCAATAGTTACTATTGTTTGTAAATATGATGATTTCATTCGTTACTTCCTGTTCATTGTACTACAAGGCACTTTCTCCCTGCTTCCAGCATGCCTTCGGGGTGTAACAATAAGACACTGGACGCGTCTTCAAGATGTCCAAAGTTCGAGTCCCGGCGAGGGCACTGCATATTTTTCACGTCTCTTACTTCAAAAAAACCCTAATGACTCTACAGTACTATTCTATAATGTATGCAGTTTCGACTGTGTTAATTGATAATCTCAAACAGTTATTAATATTTATTTATAATCATTAACGCTTTGTTTAGATATTTAATTCTTCTTCAGCCTTCTCCTTCCGTCGGTTTGTGTGTGTGTGTGTGCCGAAATGGAATTTAATCTCTAATGCGTGATCACTGCATTTGTGACTTACATTCTATGAAGAAAAGTATTTGTTTCCGGGAGTTCTATCACTTTTAACATTTATTGCATTAAATGAAAAATACTGTGTATATTTAAAGAGATTTCATCTTTGCGCTTGCTGTGTCGTTCATTTGTTTTCAAAGCATTTAATCTTTTTAACGCCGAACAAGGTCGAATTGAACTTATTATTATAGTGACATTTTTATCAAAATTCATTCGACAAAAAAAAGATTTTCAGCTACATTATATTAACAGATAATTTTGTCATCGCAATATCAAAATGCATACAGAAATAAAACATATTGTTACCATTTTTTATGAACATGACGGAAAGAATCCTGTGAGATATGCAACATCATTTGGTATTTAATTTCCTACATTCGCCATTCTGAAAAATATAATTACCTTGTGTAAAAAGGCCATTCTGTAAAATATTTATCTATGTAGTACGTTAAATTTCATTGCCTTGAAGGGTAGAAAGCGTTAGTACCTCATCATTGCCCGTTGTTTATGAAAAGAATAATTTATTTAATGCCAGATGTTTAACGTACATATTTCTGAAATATGTTTTATGAAACGCGAGTAGAATAGCTTTGTTCACAAAATCATGGATATTGTGAGGTACATTTAAAACTTTATTTAAATGCCTGTATAGGAATTTCAGTTGAATCAAAGGTGATACCAGCCTATGCACAATGCATCTATGTTTGCAAGATTTTTCAACCAATATTTTAACGAAAATGACCGGCAATAACTAGTAAAGCACATTGATTTTTATTTCTCTGAAATATAGTCTACTGCAGAAAAAAAATGTGGATGGAGTTTTTCATTTGACTTTTATGGAGCTGATAAATTATATTGTCGACTTCAAAGATTGAACAGCAAAAATCAGCAAAGATTTCTTAATATAACTATCATAAAACAGTTTATTGAAAACAAAATTGCATATAATTTTGTTTCATCATTGAAAATGTAATCATCTTTGCATGTCAAATTTGGCTCTTTCAGATTAATTTCTATTCCATAAATAGAAATTTCATATTAAAGGGCACAATTTTCACAACATTATAAGAATTCAAAAACGCATAACAAAACCATTTGCTTCTACGAAGTCATCCAAAAGCTCAGTGATCGTGCCAAGCAAAGTATCGAATTAGAAAGAGGTATTATTTATGAGTTAGGTTTCTTATATTAAATGAGTAGTTTTCTTAAACCTTTTATGGTTTCATTCTTTTCGTTAAACTTTAAAGAGTGTCTATGTAAAATCAACTATCTGTATTCTTTCACGGAAAAAAAATTTAATTCTCAATCTTATGATAATAAAAGTAAGAAACCATTTCAGATTTAAGAACTTATTTGGATTTTACTTTACAGAACTCGAAACCAGTTGTAGGCTGAAAGTTAAAAATACTGTACTGTAGTTTTCAAAAGGCTTCTTTTTTTAGTTTAGTATTTCTTATTTTAAAGACAAGTTTTTCTAAAGATCCTTCTCATGCGCAATTTTCTTTACATTTTGGTTTATGAACATCTTTTCTTTGTCAGTGTTTGGGATTTAGAGTTCAATATGTAATATATTTCTTGAGTTTTGAATTCCTTACTATTTGTTACAAGATATCGATCAGTGGAACAAGATTATTGAGCAACTCGGTACACCGTCCGTAGAGTTCATGAAGCGTCTCCAACCAACTGTCCGGAACTATGTGGAGAACAGACCCAAGTATACAGGATATGCTTTCGAGAAACTGTTCCCTGATGTACTCTTCCCAGCCGACAGCTCGGAGCACAGTCGACTGAAAGGTTAGAACATTTCTCATGCTTTACCTTTTATCTTTTTTTAATTACTTTGTACAAATTGTACATGTTGCCATGACAACAGGTTTTATTTCCTTCAAAACGAGAGACATTTTAGTTAAATGCTATGATGGTTTATAAAATAATACCCCATTTAATGAGAGCTATTAAAAACAAAATAGCACCACGTTTTAAGGATCGTGATAACACCCACAAAAAAAAAATCAAAGCTGCTTTACCTAAACTTCACACAGATAGTCAAATACAAAAAGCTTTGATTTTCTCATTAAAAAATTTCCATTGATATCGACTTGCTTACGTTGCTATCAATAAAATTTTAAAGACAAAAAAAAAAAAAAATAAAATAAAAAAAAAAAATAAAGAAATAAGCCGTGAAAATGTCTAGTTCGTCAAGAAAACGAAATTTTATCCGTCATATCGGTTGAAAGCTAAAAACATATAATCGAACTATTCATCAAATTAAGGAAGATCTGAATTTAAAATCTTATGCCAAAATGATGTATGCAGAATACAAAAAATTGTCAAAAAATTATTGCCTTGCAGTTTATAAGCAAATGTTCCATTTGAAAGTGTAAGAATCTTAATGTTAATGTTAATGTTCATGTTAATGTTGTTAATGTTAATGTTAATGTTAATGATAATGGCTGAACTAAGTAGCATTCATTTGATATTTTCTAACTCTATCACTGCGCACTTCAAGATAAAGCCGAAGAAAATTAACAAGGAAAGTAATGATGTACTGTGTCACAGAGGCAACGCTTCTAAACACAAATTTAGAAATGCCGAGAATTATGAATGGTTTCATTTGTTTAAATATGTGTATTAACAAACATTTAATTCCTTTCAAAAAAATGAAGAAATTTTGTTTTGTCTAACCTTAACTACTAGTCATTGCATGAAAGTTGTCAGCTTTTTCAACAACTAGAAAATTAAGTTTTTTTCTAAATTGAATAATGGCCCCAACCTATCCTAAGCTAGAGAGATCAAAATATTTGGAGGCTTTTAAAAACAAGTATTCCAGTTAAAAAAAGAGTCTAAAACTTAACTCTGTTCAAGAGAATTTACCTAACTCTGATTAAGAGAATTTACCCTTGACGATTAAAGTTAATTTCTAAAGAAACAGTAAATGCAAAACGTGGATGACATCTCCTGAGCAGTTCTTCATAAAGTATGCTACACAGGAAATTACACAGCAGTGTAATTAAGCTCATCAAAAAATGACTAAAAGAATAATATTTAATTGTAAGGTTTTGTTTTATAAGAAATACAGTATAATGCTAACTTTAAAAAAATCTCAGATTTGTCTCATTGCTAATTTGGAATGTTCATTAATTAAAAAATATTGAAAAAACTTCTGAGTGCATTTTGAGTTGGTGGGGAATGAAAAGAAACTTCATGTTATTCGTGTATTTTAAACAGTAGAGTTGGATTCATGTAAATAGAAATATAAAGTTCGTGGTCTTATTTGACACAATGTTTATGATATTGACCGATATGATGTTAATAGCAATGTTATCTTTTGTGATTACTATTACTATTATTTATGATTACTTTACTGATTTTATTATTTGACCTTTTATGATCTTTATGATTACTTTTGTTTGAAATTTCTTCAAAGGTGTATTTCTTCAAAGGTGATATTAATGTAGTATGCTATCTACTGATTTTAATTCACTAATATTTAAGTTATTTCTTAGATGGGGAGCCATGGCAAAGGAATACAAGGTTTCTAAGTATTTGGTTTAACATGTCGAACTTACAAATTCGAAACACGCTTTTTATCGTTGAACGAAGAGACTGCACAGTATTACGACCCAAAATTCAGCGAAAAGTAGTAGCGGTTTTAATTATCATGGGTAATGAATGGCCTTCTTATAAGGAAAGGTCTGGGACGATTATGATACGATCATCGAACCATAAACCACCAAAAGAACTTTGTCAATCCTCCAGATGATGCCCGTACTCAAACAATAAAATTGTATTAAGAGCGTTTGAAGCTAAAAAAAGGATTCTGCACAGCATGCGGAGTACTACACCGCAAATGCTTCCACATTATCTCGTAGAAGCATGGTACAGATCCGTTTAGCTTTCATATTCAAATATGGAATAAAATGGAAGGGAAAGTAAATGATTAAAAGAAACAGTTTTAGCAGCGCGGGCTAAGAAACTAATCACTAAAAGCGGTAGATAGCATTCTTCTTCAATAGTTCTACATCATATTAAAATTAAGCATTATCGTACAAATCGAAAGAAAATTTTAAATTATTTAGTGTTTCATGGGCACTAATTGTATTATTTGATGTAATTGTTTATAATTTCTCCAAAGGTATGATTATATAATCATACACTTTGAGAAAAATTACAATCTGAAAATTTTTGATTGCAGTCTAACACCTAAAAACAATTTATCACCAAAAATTTCAAAATGTTTTTACTATATTTTATTAATAAATTAAAACTTCATAAACATTTTAAATGCATTTCTCTACAGTTGCATAGCATATGGTATTGAAAATTTGCCATTTATCCGATATATCGGTCATCGATCACCATTGGTTTCCGTAGACAACCACCATCAAACTATCTTACAATTGTGCCTTTAATTTAAAAGGCTTTCCAAGCTCGTGAAACAACACTTTTATCGATTTCAAACTACGCCTCTTGTCAAACTTGCCAATCTTTCTACCTTCTGTAAAGACGTCCTGATGTTTTCTTGTATCTATACTATACATTCAATCTCACTTCCACTTGCAGAAGAATGCCTGAACTTGCGCCTTTCTTTCTTCTTTTAAAATTGCCTCGCACTATGCGCGTTCATTCATTGTGGTTCGTCTGTCTTGACGTAACCTCTGTGGACGTGGTGCTCACATTTGCATAAGCATCACATTATACGGAGTTGACTTTCATTGCACTGATCGTGCTAGCCCTCTTAAAAAATTTCATGGTTGCATATTCAAAAATTAATTTGTTGCTGAAGTTTTGTATACTAGTTTAGTATAGGGTCAATGATAAAGAATTGTTTTCAGCTTATTTTCACTGTAGACTTTTGAGAAGAACAGAGTTCCGTGTCGATCATAACAGTAGATGACTGGTAATGTGTGCTGCGCACCCTTTCGAAGAATTTTAGGGCACTGAACTAAAATAGGCCTAGGCAAATAACAGTCTAAGAGCAATAATCATATTTTTCAGTGCAGTTTAAATTTTTCTGTCCATTGATGATTCTTCAAGTAAAATAAATTTGACTTTACTTTACATTTTTAATTTGGCATTTTGTGAATTAATTATCTTATAATTTTTTGTTCAAATCAAGACACAATTCTGTAAATCGCAATTCATTCGCAGTCCGTTCAACAAAAACTGGCATTACACCAAATGAGCAACAATATGAGATTACAGATCTGATAGCGATACTGATATAGAGAACTGCAGATTCTCTATACTTTTCGTATCCTCTATACTAATTCGAGAAATTTAACAAACATTTTCTAAGGTCAAACGGTTAACGATCAAGCATCATTGAGTAATATTTACAAGTATGTTTAAGAATCTCCTAAAAATTAACACCAAAACTTTTTTAAATATGGTGAAAATGCCAAACAGCATTATTTATCTCATTAATATGTTGACCGTTAGAAATTTGTTTATTTTTATGCTTGAATTCACTTTTCCTTCTAATAACAATTTATATATAAAAATACTATTTTATAGTATTTTCGGCTTGCTATATTTTTAATCCCAATAATATCAATGCAGCTTTTCGACGAAACGTTTGCCCATGCTAGAACTAGAGGAAACTATATTAAATATCATATAATGTCATTAATTTAATGGTTACTATAAATATATCAAAAACAAAACAAAAGTCTGTTAAATTGAATGCTTGTCAGCTTTGAAGGTATGGCATCATCACATTCTGATTACGTTCATTTCCCACCCATTATTTATACTCCTTCGATTGCAGAACGCGGTCCTTTCTTTGACTTCAGATTAGCACGAAGGTCTAACCACAGCCACTCTTCGGGGTTTCGTGTCCTAGCCTTCGGAAATCGATTGCCCCCAACGCTATCTTCCGCCTTTTTTCCGAGTTTTTCCGTTAAACGAAATATTTTGTATAAACTTCCCCTTTAATTCTTTAACTGGAAATTTTTATGAGTTAACATTTTCTAAATTCTGTATTTCGACAATAAAAGTGCTACACAGACTTTCATTCGATTGATTTCATTCATGAAAACTTTTCTATTTATTGCCTATGACCAAAACGAAAAGTAGTATAATTATCAAAACTTTAACACTTTTTTCTTTCATTTTAGCAAGCCAAGCGCGCGACTTGTTGTGCAAGATGTTGGTCATCGATCCCGAGAAGAGGATATCGGTCGAGAACGCCCTACTCCATCCATATATCAACGTATGGTACGACGAGGCAGAAGTCAATGCCGTAAGTACTGCTGTAAGTCCAAATTCACGATTCACCCTTCTCGGTGTCGTATGCTGTTCGTCGATCTGCTTCTTGTGGCGTGTGGCGTCCTGCAAACATGTAGAGAAGTGTATTCATTGTAAATATTGGGTCAAATTTTCAAATTATCTGAATTCTTTTTAGGGAAGTAATAAAGAAATTGTTACAAATTTTAATTAGCAAGATTCACAGCTAAATTAAAATGCTTCTGCTTAAAATCATAACTAGTGACTAAAAGATACTGGTTTATCAAAAAAGTAAACATGACTTTAAAGTACTTTTATTAGAAGATCTGAGACAGCTTGACAATTTGTACTACAAAGTAAGCATGAAAGTTTAATTCTTTCATCCTACAATTAGTAAATTTCGGTATGAGTTCCACTGATTGTCCTTCAGTTATCAAAGCAGTATTCTGTTTCTATCCAAGTACGCTGAATCTTATATGATGTAATTATAATAAAGGCCATGAATGATACGTTTTTCAATAGGTGGCTGTGTTCCATAAGTTAGCGGAAAATTGCTTTCAACTGTTATAACAGAGTTAAATTCTGCTCTTTCAGATTTAAATTCTGGTTGCCATCCTCATGCCCACTGGTTGTTAAGGACGGTTATGCCATTAACTGTTTAAAACGTTTCTCTGTATGTCAAGTTTAACTTTTCCATCACTGAGGTAAAACATGACCGCTTTTTAGTTATTTTCGTATAAAAGCTAAGAAGCCGCATTTACAGTAAAATACAATATAGTAATTGAAAATCAGGTTCATCTTTTTCGATAATTTTGTGTTACCACGTTTAAAAAAATTAAAACTATTCACAAGTAAATTTTGCTCTACTGAAAATTCATCTAAATTAGCAAATATAAAAAAGTGAGGTTTTTCCCCCCCCCCCAAGTTGTGTTTCCTCATTTATTTTACAGATGCTTTTTAAAAGCGTACCTATATTTCTTCTATATTTATATTTTAATAAATTATCTTACTTTAACTGTTTATATGCATTATATTACTTGAAGCAAGAGGTAGCTTTGGCTAAATAAAAGAAAAAAATCGAATTTCTGAATAAAAATTACAAAATTTTAAAGCTATTCTGCATAATATCTGCATATGAAAAAAAAATTTAAAGAAAATTTAAATAAAAAAAAATTTTGTGTTCACCATATGGCTTCCTTACATGAATATTAAATTACACACAATTTTTCTTGCATGTCATTTAAACGTATTGGATTGAATTAAATCTACTTCGTCGATAGCGCATAAACCACAATAGAATAAAAGCACTCTTTAAAATTCACTACATTTGTTTACCACAACAACACTCTGGCGCTTGCTTCACTTAATAGCGTTACATTTCTTCGTTCATTTTATAAATCAGAATGCATATAAATTTATATCATTTGAAGAATTATCTAATCGTTGCTACATGTTCTATTCAAATACTATAATAAATCTAAAACGATGTATAAAAGAAATTAAGCAAACAAAACAAAAAAGAAACAGTTTTTTACAGACTATTCAGTATTTTTCATTCAATTTATTCAGTTCTCACTTCCCGACAAGGGAAAAATACATAAAATCTCAAACTATCTATATTAAAAATTACGAAGCAAATTTTAAACACTTATTTCCTCGAATAAATTCCATAATCCATTAACATGATTTAATTCGCAATAATAAAAGAAGGCGTTATCTTTGTTGTTGCGAAGCTTAGTTTCTCTAGATTAGCAACAAATCCGCTATGTTGCCAAGTTTGAAATGTAAACAACATGTCCGCCATCGCAAAAGTAAATAGACTTAGCTGCACTCAAACAACTTTTAAATTCTTGATAACTCCACAAATATTGCATTCAGATTTACTAAAGGCATAAATACCTTAACCGGAAGATAAGAACAACATAATTCAATCATTTTAAAGCAAAAAATGCACAACTTACAAACACTTAAGAGTAAAGAAACTGAAATCACTGAGACGGTTAACAGAGTAGATATACATATTTATATACCTTTGGTGTGGCCGATTTCAATCAAAATATGAGGTGCACATCTACATGTCATAGCGGTCCTATATACAAAATTTCAACGTTCTGAGGCTACTCGTTTTTGAGTTATGCGAAATACGTACGTAGGTATGTACGTACGTATGTGCATACGTACGTATCTCGCATACGTACGTACGCACAGCCGTCACGAAAAATTCTCTTCAGAATTAATTTTAAATCAGTTTTATAATTTTTTTGGGGAAAAGAGTCTTTTATTTTGTCCTTACGTAGAGATGTCACGCAAAAACATAGTTAAATTGCATTCGATAGCGGTCAAAATGGATATTTTCGTTGAAATATGATGCCTGAAAATTTTCGCAATTACAATACTTCCTTTTTACTTCGTACAATGAAGTAAAAAATCGACCTTGTCTAGTACCAGAGAAAAGGCTTTTTCAATTTAATTCTTTGATGTCATAAAGAGTTACCGAATGCAATGGATAATAACGTTCTTTTTTTTTTTTTTCCAGCCACTCAACTCGAATAGCAAAGCTTGGTGAAATGTAATTGCCTCATCATAAAAATGACATAAAATTAAAGACGATGAAAGTTTCCTTTTGTTTCATATGAATACATATTAATACATTTCATTTTAAGGATCTTCAGAAATATTTTATTAGGAAGTGTATTGTTAATTTCAATGACAAGAAATGCTAGGCTCGAGTTCAGAATACGTTTTAGTGAACAAAATCCTTTTGTTGATGTCAGTAATGGACAAGAATACTAGTACAACATATGAGCAGTTTTTATTTATAGTTTAAACTTAAGTTAACGGCCATGGAAAGAGCCATGCATCGGTACCTGCTATTTGTGCTCAGTTATTAAGAATGTTTTTCTCTGATTATGAACAATAAATAAAATGATGCATTACATAAAGCCACCCGCAAATATAGAAATGGTCGGTTTATTTCTACTTGTCAAAAGTGAAGCACTAAAGTTGTGTTCCTATAATTAGTCTTGAGATAGCTCGTATACCCAACGTCTAAGTACTGTATGGCGAACATGGGAATAACAACATGGTAGAAAGATGTTATCTCAAATATTGCTTGGTTTCTTGTGAGAAAACTAGTGGTCTCTAAAGGTATTAAGATTTTAAAACTCTCAACTTAGGAAATTAGCACAAATTCAATCAAATCGAGGGCTAGAAATTTATTCTTTCTTCTTGCTAATTGGCATAATATTTATTTTAAATGAACTTGACATTCTTATGGAATTTTTACTAGCAATATCAATTTAAGAAGTTCTGTAAGTTTTGAAATCATTTTGATTCTCAACACCTTTACGAAGAAACATGCGGTCAGAATCGTACGGTAATTATTTTATTTCACAAACTTAAGAAATTTCTGTTTTGTACTAAGAAGTTTTAGTCATGACCTCTTAGACCCCTTTGTTTCCTTTAAACTCATTGCTATATTGGCTGCAGACATCTTTAGTATAGTAAGAGACTTTTAAATCATGAATAATATTTCATTGTTAAATTGGCCTAAAGTTCATATACAATCTTATGAAAATGCTAATTATCCTTATTTACACAGGACTGAGACTACAACAATACTTTAAATATTTTTTAAAGTATTAGGGGTTTAACACCCCGCTTTCCGTTTAACACAACTATTAACGTTAATACTAGCAAGAACCAGAATTCACCGAAATTACTAACGATGTAGCTAATTCGCGTGATTGAAAGCAATGTTATTTCTGATAGCGCAAAAAATATATCATATATCACCTAACTCACAGAAAACACTTTTCATACCAGACATTTTATAAATGCATCTCTCGAAAGTCGGCATACATAAAAGCTATAATAAGTTTCGTACCACATACGTAGTAGTTGCGCAAGAGTTATGCATGCTTTGCAATAATTCGTTGCTAAATGTCTTATAATGTGGTGCATAAATATTGCCGCTACCACGATACAGTACATTATTTAATTTTACAGCGGATCACATATAGTCCAAGGGCCAACACAAAAGATTAAAGATGTACGATGCACTAAGCGAGGATCGTTCCACGTCTTGAGCGAAGGGTACAGTTGTCAACAGATCTAGTAAAATTGCACTAAGCGCAATATACCAGCAGTAATAGATCATATTAGCGTCAGTGTTCGTGAAAACTTTCCATTGTTGATATTTTTTGGGCGTATCTCGATAACAGATGAGGTTGCTTTGATGTCATTGTTCACTTAGACCTATGAGTATATCTTATAAAATCAACGTAAACCAAAGCTCACCTAATTTTATGCCGCAATCATTCTAGCTGCTCAATAGCTATAAAATGCATTAGCCGAATAACTCGTTGCCCAAGTTCTAGTAATATGGTGAGCTGGGGTAGCTCATGCTCAAAATCTTTAAAGATGAGTCGCAAAGGAAGAATGTTTCAGGAAGTCAGATTTGAAGAACTGACAAGTTCAGAGCACAACATACAATCAGCATATAGTCTTCGGCTGTTCCAACATTTAGACATGTTCAAATAATATACAGAACTCTTAGATTAACACGAGAACATAAATGTCTTTCTTTTTCTGTATCAAGTAAATCGTGATACATTTCTGCATCCCTGTTTCGGGAAGGAAAAAAAAAAAAAAAAAAACTACTTCGCGAGCAAATAAAATGTATTTTTCCTCTTTTTTTTTATAAAACTACCATGGCTATCGTTGCGTCTATACATATATTTCCCTAAAATTTTGTGCACTTTCCAGGAGTAAATATTTCATGTCTACATCGAGTTCTATATAGTTAGAAGAGATTTGTATTGCTTTCCATAAAACTTTAAAAAAAAGGGAACATTTTAGATCAGAAAAAAGTCTTTTATCTTTATCAGTAAATTGCTGTAGATCACAAGTTTGAATATATTATGTAAAAGAATTCTAGGGAGCATGTTAATATGATTAAAATGAAACAATGAGTAAAACGGTGTATAGACTAAAACGGAACGGCGGGAATAAAAGAGACTTCTGAAAAAATTCTCAACTTTAAAAATGAAACAACCGCAATTTTATTGCTTAGAGGACAGCATTTTTCAAAAATTTCAAATGTTGTAATTAAGAATTGCGGTGATATATTTAGTTTCATTAATTTAATACATTTTGTTGGTTGCATTATATTTAGGTTGTAATGCTGCAGATACTGCTTTTGT